AGTGGGGGGGGGGGGGAAATCAGGGCAAAGAATCCAAAGCATTTTGCTTGACCAGCCTGCAGCGAGCAATATGCAGCTCTGAGAGATTCAAAAAGTTTGGCTCAAAGATAGATTTACAAACACAGGAAATGGCACCCCCAAAATGTCCCAAGCAATAACCACCAAGAATTAAGGATTTACAAAGCAGCACTTTAACAGTAAATACAGCATAATATATTGTTGATAACAAGAAGATTAAATTGTTGAATGGATTCCAATTGCGTTCTGTGAAACATTATTAATAAACTGTAATTGTGTTCATAGCTTTGGTTTTTTTCCTTAGCTATGATAGGACCTCCGACGGTAACTGTGGTTCATAGCAACAAATCCATAATACTAAAGCTCCAGGCTCCTCATTCTCCTTATAAAAGGAAGAGAGGCAGCAAGATACCAATGACAAATTATTATGATCTGCTATATCAAGTCTTCATAATTAACAACTTGCTAGATGAGGTAAGTGCATATTCAAATAAGAACCCTTTACCATTGAAAAGCCAGGAAAGTATGGGCACACCATTCTTGTTTTACAGTTGAAATAGTCTTCTGGGATTGTGAGAACATCGATGACTGTGCAAGTATTTGAAAACAAAGTAGGCTTATTTGTCGCGAATTGAATTTTATTGAATTGAGTTGTAATTCTTCTCTTTATTCTTTCCCACCAACTTCGTATTTCATACTCTAAGACCTAGATTAAAAAAGGAGGGGAATTTGGGGGGGGAATTTTCATTAAAAATCATAAATAAATTATTAATGCTATTGACATTGTGCAACTCTACGTGCTGCTCTACAACCTCCGTTCTTACCAAACTTTACTCACATACACACTTGCTAGGGTAATGTGCTTGACTGGCTCTTTTTACTCTGCTCTGTCTGAAGCAACACAGAGTCCTGGTGTATGAAGGAAAAGACAAAGTTATTAAAATAGAAGATTTGAGGCCTGGAGTCAGCTACTGCATCATGGCTAAAACGTACGTGCCATTGCTGGACCGCAGCAGTGCCTACAGCAGCAGGCAATGCACCGTGCTGCACTGACAGGGCTGGCACCTCTGTGACAGGTAAGTCACCAGCTGAAACTGGAGATGACTCTGGAAGTCAAGAGCTATCCCCTCACCAAAGGCAGATACTCTCCAAAAGGAGAAAAAAAGGTGTGGCATAAAAACTGCCATCCCATATGACAACATTAGCCAGAGTTCTTACATCATCTCAGCTAGTTTCACACCAGGTAAAAATGATATGGCCAAGGAGATTAGAGGAATGGCGTGGATAATTATTTGCATGCTGGCACAGTCCTCAGAAACACCTCCCTCTTCCCTTTCTTTAAACAGTTATACATAGTATTGTTTTCATCAGTTTTTACTGCTGTCAGGTAATAATTAACTAGGAAAATGAGTGACCTCCAACTTTATTAACATGCAATTCTGCTGCAAGCTCTGCAATTCCGTTCAGGAATTTATCTAATGTATTTAATTCAAATGAGCCTGTCCTCTTTTCACGGCCATTCTTCACGTGTAGTATGTTTAAAAATAAATCAGTTACCAAATTTCATGAGTTCCCATGGGCCAAAATGGAAGAGTTAGCTCAATTAGCTGGTCTGAAAAATCTGTTTGTTTACTTACCTCAACACTAGACTATCTTCACATATCATGTGCCCAGCAGAGAGATTTACTATCAATCCTGCCTTGCAGGTGCCAAGGCACAGAGTGTATAAAGACCTAAGCCAAAGCTGACTCCAGTGTCATTGGCTTTAGCAACCTCAGATTTGGGCCCTTTCTAGATGTAACGGAGGAAAACTGGAGAAGCATCAAAGTTTGAACCTGTGCTTCTGTTCTGGGTTCAGTACCCTAACTATAAAAGATTTTCTTTCTTCTGCTTCATAATGTGATGCATAACGTTGGTATCTCTTGAGACTTGGTCAGTGGGTTTAAGCTAAGGAGGGAGCCAGTTTCTAGGTGATTTTCCTGCATTTTTGCTTGCTTTCCCAGTACTGTAAAAGGCTGGAAGCTCAGGTTAGAGCTGGACTTCTGAACAACATGCAGAGGTACAGGAGGGATGCAGGGAAATGGCATGTGTTGCATTTTTCCGTTAACTTGGAATACCATCCAGCTTAAATGTGCACTCCAGCAGCAATTCTCTTTCTTTTCCCAGTTACAGGGATAATGGCGGAAGATGCCTCCCATCACAGATCCAGCTGTAAATCAACATCTGTGGTCTATGTCTGGAATACATATTTGGATACTTTTAAAATTAACCTTTGCTGCATTAAACGATTTAATTCATCACAATCATTTTATGCTACACAAAGGCCAACAATTCTTTGTATGTCCTATATTACAATTTATGATGGTACGTATCTGCATTTACAAAGGAAACAGTGTTGTAAGATTAAAAAAAACATGCAAAAAGCATTTGTGAAAATATCCTTAAGATTGTTTCTAGAGTTTTTGTATTTTAAGCCTTGGAATTAAAATACAATTTATAAAAGAGAAGTTTCAGATATTTTATTTCTTCTAGAACAAAGGTTGCAACAGAAGTTGGAAAAAAGTGTCCTTTCTTTAAAGTAAGAACTGTTCAGTACAGGAGTATATCCCACGATACAATGTCTTCATAGTGCCCTCAACATAACATTTCTGATAGTGAAACCAGTATGCGATTAGGTAGGGGCTCATTTAAACTGAAACAGAAAAGATCCTCACTTTCAGTCAATGACAGACAGTTGAAGGGAAGAGACCTCTGTTTCAACCATTTCACAGTAAATGATGAACGAATGCTGACCATCACCTGTGATTTCTAATGATTTTACTCCTACTAGTCTTCATCTCACAAGGGAAAAGATTTCCTGGGCAAGGTTTGGGTAGCTATCCCCTAAGCCACACCAGGATGGAGAGGTGAAGTGGCTTTTTCAGATCTCCAAGGTCTGTAAGTAATAAGAATCTTAATATTTAACTGCATTCTGTTACTGCAAATTAAATGAGAGAAGGTGAGAGTGGGCCAGACACAAGAGGGCAAAGCAAGCCCTGGGAAAAACGGAGCTCCCTGCTACATAATCACTATCCACTTTTCCCTTAATTCACATGCACAAAGGTGGATCGGTTCAGTTTAAGTAACAGACCTTGAGTTCAATTAAGCCACATCCAAAGCATTTTTCATGGTCTGTCACTAACTCCTCACCTGGAGGCAGCACCGCTGAGACCTGCGTCAGGATGCTGGCAGTAGGCGTTTGGGAGGAGGCTGTGCTTAAGTAAGTGAATGCTGGTCACTCTTGCCTTTACCAAAACAAAAGAGGGCATTACATGTTAAATATTTCCACCATCTGATTCTAACACATGATATATTTGAATAACTAGACTTGCAGGCATCTAGCTGTGTCCACATATCTAGTCCGTAAAAACCAAGTTTCTTTCACCACGCTTCCCTTTTTGTTCCTTTCCCATTTCTTCCAATTGTTTTGCCCCACCCATATCCCATAGTTTCTTAATTTAGGTAAGTATTTTTTGGGAAGCGAGGCTTATTAAATCTCTGTATAGTACCTAGTGCCATGACAAGTCTCAGATCCAGCACTGCCCTGCCACCCCTCTTGCACTGGGCAGAACCACAATAAAACCGTCCAGGCTATTTCTATTAAGAAATAGCCTTTCTTACATTTCAGTGACTTCATCCACTTATGGGTTATCACAGCCTGAAAACAGTATCAATTCAAGTTCTTTCTCAAATTCACTTCTTTCCTTAGGGCACCTCATGTTGCCGTTGTTACGCAAAGATAAAGCTTTGTTAAGGTAACATCTACTAACCCTAGTCAGGGAATAGACTCTGACAATGTCGGATACTGTACCTATGTCAGATGCAGAGGATGAAACTGCTTAGGGCTTTCAAATCCTAAAGAAGACATAAAAAAAAAAAAGAAGCAGCAGAGCCATAAGAGTACCTAAAGCGTTCAGACCTGGCTAGAAATATAGCAGCTGCCACGCTCTGCATCTGTGGAGACACTGGAAACTGAAAGTTTTTCAATTTGATAAAATTATAAAAAATGTGCAGCATGTATACTGGGAAAAACAATAAAAGGTCTGAAGAAGTCTTGTGCCATTATGTTTGCTAACGAGATTTCACTTCCTCAGCAACAACGCAGGCTTACAGAAAGCAGTGCAAGAGTTGCAGGAACGACCCACTTCCATTCTGACAGTATCAGGAATTATTATTGCCAACCCCATGATGTTCTGCAAAAGCCAATTTTCTCTTTCCATTTGAAATGCAAATTTCCTTTCAGCTCTGCTCTGACATGTAATTTTACTGGGGAAGGGTTTGATAAAATGACTGGGGCTGTATTTTTTCTCTGCAATCAGTGGTAGTGGCATGTTCCCAAGTCATGCTCCACCGGGCTCGCAGGATGGGGCTCCTGCAGGGAGAAGTACTTTGCTGTAGCATATACCGGCTGGGTGATCTGCACCCACAGCTTCTAGACAGCCTTGGTAATGCTGTAGTTTTCAAAAACAACTTCGTTGTCCCTTAGCCTGTATGCTGCACTGCTGTTTACGCCTCCATGAGGGTGGAATGGCGGAAGAGCTCTCTAAACTACAGCTGGGGCTTTCCTGCAGGCAGGTCAGTTTGGAAATACCTGGAAAAGTGAGCTCTAGCCTTCTTTCCCCTTCCTTCTCGTGGGCACAAGGAGACCATCTGCTGTGGGTCCTCCTCTCCAGAGCTGCCCAGGCTGGCACACGGCTCCGCAGTGGTTAGTGCACCTGCACGCCAGTCAGTGCAGGACACCTTTACATTGTTGGCTTGACTCCTTCTGGCCATAAGTTTGCAAGACACAGCTGAAAACGCCCTCCTCTTGTTTTTTTAGTCGCTTACAGAGCAGGCATTTTCTAACAAAGTGCCAAATGCCAGCTTCCGTTTCAGGAGGGAGAGAAATAAATGCTGGCTTCTAGGGCTATGGCATAGGGTGGGGAAAACCAAGCAGTGTAACAAAAGCAGGACTTGTGCAACCTATTCTGTAAGCCCTCGCCTGCCACGTCACTGGGGGATGTCTGCAGTCATGGGCATGGCCCGTCGCAGTGGCCTCACCTGGTCAAGTCCTTGTGTCACAGCTGAGGGTCCTGCCAATGAGAAACAGATACTATTATAGGAGTTTGCAGTTACTGATCTGTGTGAAGTGGAGCCCATCCCACAAGGGCCTAGCCGCCTGTCCTTCATGACCGTGGCTGAGCATTATCTTACCTGTTGGATGGAATAAGAGCTTATCTCCCACTGTAAATGGCTTTAACTTCCCATTCCACTGGCACTCAGAAGAGCAGTATTCAACTACCAGAAATTCAAGAACAGGCCTCTGGAAAAGCTGATAGAGCAACAGCAATGGACCAGATGCTCCAGCCTTATAAATTAGGATAAGATTATGCACAGCCAGCTGTACCATATAAATGCCCAGTTTTATATGATGCCATGATCCTCGGTGTTTATCATATGGTCTAGCATCTGGCCAGTCCTGTTCATACCTCCCATATATCTGCTCTAATCAGATGTGGACTTGGGGTTTATTTACTTGCATAACTTGATCTCAGCGAAGAACCACTCTCGTGGCCCAGGGCTGGGGTGCTGTTGTGAAATGACGTTGGCTTTTGCCACAGATCTATCAGATGTTATCAAGTATTCCAAACTGCAGGGAATTAATCATAAATAGGTTAGGGTTTCTGCGGATTTTCTATGGATTTCAACGTTTGCTACAAAGATCAAAGATACTAATCTGTAAAATCTGTCTGATAGGAAAAAAAAGAAGAAAGAAGAAAATAAAAACCAAACTCCGGAGAGTTAGTTTGCCACAAAGGACAGGTGACACAAAACAAGGGTACTTCTGCAGAGAAGTGGAGGGAAAGAAACAACACTGGTGTTCATTGTCAGGAAAGTTACAGTCTCCTTTGCAACTTGCTTTCAGAATCTTTTATAAAGTGCTTTCAAGGAAAAAAAAACTTGAAAATTTAGTTGCCCAAATGATGAAATCACTGGCTGCTTTATTGCAAGTCTTTCACGTTGAGTCTGCTGAAGGCCCAGCTCAAGCAGGCATTGCTGCCAGAATTTTGGCTTGAGATGGGGAAAAATGGGAAGCTTGAGCCCTGACACTTACGAGGAAAGTTCAAAAAGGGAATTCCTGAAAAGGCTCCATCATATGAGGTAAATACTGAAGACCCACTAACAACTTTAATTTTTTAAATATTGTGCTCTTTTCTAAGGCAGTGGGGACCTGATGCTGAGTTGCCTAAATACCCTCAATACTGACAAAATGCAGCCCAATGGTATCACACTCTGAGGACTAGGTTCTTCAGAGGTGTCCTTGCTTTTAAACACAGGAACAGGATGACAATGAAGAGTCATTGTGTTAATTGCTATATTAGAGCAACTGGAAAACTGTTATTAAATTCATTTATTTCAGGCAATGTCATTCTGACACAGCTTTTTTTTTGCTTTTTTGGGGGTAAGAAATCATACAAATCATACCGATTTCCAAGAAACAGCCATAAGCTCTTGTTTTTCATTTTGTAATGACAGACGAGTATTTTTTAACACTGCTTGTTGTGGGATACTGGCTTTGTTTAACAGCTGACAAGCACATGATTGTTATAGGACTGGGCTAAGCTCTTATTTCTGGGCAAAATTCTCACTATAAATTCTTATATTGGGAAGAATAAAGCTCCTAAAAGATATCAGCAAAAAGAAAAACAATAGGGTTGTCTTCGTTAAATCAAACTCAAACACATTCAGAGGGTCTGTGAAGTCACTAATCATGCCCTGAGTGGAATGAGAGAAAAACCTGGGGAAGAAACTGCTGGAAAAGGCTCACTTAAGCTCTGAAGAATTAGAGTCTGCAGAGCAGCAGAGCAACTAATACAAGGAAAGAAGAAAACAAAGTATGCACAGAGAGGGGCTGGGAAACAAAGAGCCTGCAGCATCAGAGCAGAAATGTGTATTTCAACAAGCTTACAAAATAGGAGCAAAGTGATTTGGCCAGCAACACAGTATAGCTGCTGGCACAGACACTAAGCAGTTTCTGCCTTGGAAAAGGAGTGCTATATTTCTATGGAGCAAAACTATTTTACACGTGTCCATAGCTAAGGAGAAGACATATGTGTAAGGACACAACTTTTATGCATTCTGCTCAGAGAGACCATTTCAGCCATTTCAGCAGCAATCTTAGAGGCCAAACAGCCATTATCAAGAGGATTTCAAAAGATGGAGAGAGAAATTTATTAGTGGAAGAAGCAACACCAATCACTGGAAAGGCTTAGTCATTGCCACTGTTCAAGAAACAAACATAGACTCACAGTCGGGCTCAATCACCTCAACATAGGTGCCTCAACATATAAGATACCTCTGAGCTTCCAGAACATTCGCACATGGTTGGCAGATACAGCAAAGGATCTGCATGAGACCCTCACCTCCCCAGGATGGCAGCTGAAGTCCTGAGGGGACATCCCACAGACATGCACTAGACGTCTATGCTTGGGTGACTGAAGCTCTACCCCAGTTACTGAAATGCTACTGTAACCTACTAATGGGACAGTTACCAGGTATAAGGTGGACCCTGAAGTCATGTGTA